GTTAGGGTTAGAGAGTAGGCGTAGGCGACTCCCTAGACTCGTTAGTGGAGTAGGCGAGGTACGACCCGGCATATTAGATAGTACCAGCAGAGCATATAAATCACGTTGATTTATATATGCTCTGGTATACCAGGATACATTCCGGCAGTATCCTGGGCGGAATGTATATATCAAAATTATAGACCCTCTCAGCGTCAGTGTGTACAGTGCAGCCGCGTGAGGAATGGCGGCCGCCAGCGTATGTTGCACATAGGATTTGGACGGAATTTACAGGAAACTGTCGGCAATAATAGGTGAAAGAGAGTATAGAAACATTAAGAATTTGGTAGTAAATAGATTTCGTATTTATTTAGCATTATATATTTTATTGAAACGCTTCAAGTGCATGCCTGTGGTGCGGGGGTTGTACATGGAACGCGCACCGGGTAACACCATATCAGAGGGGGTGATTTTAATTTTGCTAGTTATAATTTGTTTATGTCACTATATATACTATTCCACCCAATTTCGAATTCCAAATACCGGCCGGTAGTGGACAAATAAGCCAGTTTGTAATGATAATGTGCGCATGCGCGAACTTTTCCACGAACTCTTCTATATGTTAGGTCATTTGTGAAAAACAATATCACGACCGCACAGTAACACACACATCAGAAGTAGATAATAGGGAAATTATCTAAATCCCTATTATCTACTTCTGTTGTACATGCATGCATCTGTGTACATCTCTGTACCTCTGTACATGCATCTCTGTACATGCATCTGTGTCGTACGCAGTACACTGTTATTTTCAGGGAGTTATATTAACTCAACTAGGGGGGTTAAAATGACTCTAAAGAGAGGAGTTAAATATGTAGAGTTACTTTGACTCCCAAAATGGAGTACATTTCACTCCAACTTGAATTCCGAGTTAAATTGAATGTACTCTCTGCTGGAGTGATTTTAACTCTCTTAAAATATATTATTCTATCAATTTACATTTAACTCCATATTAAGGAGTTATATTTTTACTCTTGTCACTGCACATACGGAGTTAAAATAACTCCATCTCTGGAGTACGATCATTGGAGTTATAATAACTCTACCAAGAGAGTTAGGGTTAGGGTTATAGGGTTAGGGTTGTCAATCATTAATCATTAATCATTAATGATATCAAAGTCATCCATCTATGCCACATGCAAAGCACGTGAAAATTTGGATCGTTCTTGTGGTTACGGCCGATGTGACTCAACAACAAATTAAGAGAAAGTGATACAAATCCAATGCAGAGATTACAACGAAAAGGTATTTTCGTCAAAAGCCGCGCGTTGCGTTCGGCTGATCACAATGCAACACAACACAAAACCTCTAGCGATTCAGCAGCTAGAGAAAATTTTAGGCCACGCCCCTCCCTCTACGCCCGTGTTCACGGTAGCGTAACCCTGCAGCTAAATTCTATTCATTACATTATTCATCTTTTTTTCCCTTTTTTTTCTTTTCTAACGTTATAGGGTTAGGGTTAGACTTAGGGTTAGGCTTAGGGTTAGGGTTAAGAATCTGGATTACTAGGATCTATTAAAAAAATAAATAAAAAAATAAAAAATTATGAATAATGTAATGATGAAATAAAGGTCATGACCTGCGATGTCGACATCGACCCATTTTTCAGAGCGGTAACACTGATCGATTCTGCTCGCTCGAGTAGCGGAGCTATATCACTGATGGCATTTAAGGTAAGTGGCAATTATTATCTTTTTATTCTTTAAAGTAGGCTTTTGAAGTTTTGTGATACAGAGAAAGAAACTGAATTAGTCAATTGTCTAAATATGTCCACGTTTCAGTGGCAGTGTCACGTTCCACGGACCGGTCCAGTGTTGTCACGGGTTTGCACGGTTCGTTTATTTTCAGGTATAAATGGATTTCGAAATACAAGGCTGCATGCATGCAATTGGTTGTTGCTGGTGTGAGACAAGAGAAGAGGTTATACAAAAGCTCGTGGAATATGAGGTATACAGATAATTAAAACACGTTAGCAAACCCCGCTTCCCGCCTAAAAGTGGCGCCTTCCCGCCCCATCAAACTGCATGATTCAAGGCTTATACTTATAGGGGGCCTTAAGTTATAGGCTTAGAATGTAATAAAATTAAGCTTTTAACACGTTGAATGCCATCGGGTAAACAATGTCAATGGTCTTACCACCCTGTGCCGAGCGTTTTTCCCTGTTTTAGATCGTAATTCATCTCGTGAATTCATCGTAGTTTGGTATACCGGAATTAACGTACCCTGGCACTAAATACTACTATCTAATATGTAGGGGTGTAACGATATACCGGTATATCGGTATATTGCAATATATGTTGAAAACTCGATATATCGCAATAAAACAACTTCCGGATATCGATATTTTACGATACGGTGGTATAACAAGAAATAAATTACTTGACACTTGCCTTTATGTCTATATTGTTAATGGGCTCGAAAATTATGCACTGGCGGTGTATATATTACGAAAGCGCAATGCCTGCACGACGCATACAGTATTACTGGTAAGCGACCACTGCACGGAGCACTGCGCGGTGCTACTGCGCGGGCAGTGTGAAAGTTATATTATATATATAATATATAATATTATATATATATTTATTTATTTATTTATTTATAAGGCATATAGCAATAGGTATAGCATATAGCATACATGCATAGGCCTACATATAATACTAATTATTGTATATAATAATTAATATAGCATATTAATATTATTGACAACCAGGCTGTGTTGTGAATAACGTCAAATTAATATACTACTACTACGGTACCGTACTAGTACTGCCTAGGCTATTCTTTAATATATATATATATATATATAATATATATTAATATATATATATATGAATCGATAGATGAAAGATTATATGATAATAGATAAAACGTTATCTGCGGACAGAATTATTCGGTCTAAGGTAAATATATAGCATATGTCTAGCCATACATTATATAGGCCTACATATAGCTTATATGATATAGCAAATATATAGCATATATAAGGATTACTATCATATAGCATATACCAGACAGCACAACAGCACCAGGTCAATATTGGCCAATATCGCGTTAATCTTCAGCACCATAATATTGGCCCAATATTGGTTGATAATATTGGCCCGACATTGCCAATATCGGCCTGACTCCCGGCTTGCCACCTTGGCCGAATCGGCGTTAACTGGCTCAGTGGGCAGAATAATAGCATCGAGCTAAAATT